TTTAAGAAGTTGGCTATAACTTGAGGATACCTGGAACCATTTTGGCAAGGAAAAAGCAGTGATCTAAATAATCACTTTCTGAGATGAAGACTGTTCTAGATCCTAAGAAAAACCTCTGGAGTTACTGGCCCTTTGCAAGTTAAAAAGGTCTGGCTCTATTGAAGGCCAGGAGATATAAGCCAAAAGCTGGTTTCCTAGAAATTTTGGTTTGGGAGGTTTAGAAAGGAACAGAGTAACGGATTATCTATATAGTTATGGATCGGTTGACAGGTGGAAAGAAAAAAAAGGTATCTGGCTGGAGTCTAATACTTCCCAAACTCCCGTTGCATTTCAGGATGTCCAGGAAGGGTGGTCCCCTATCAAAGCCCTTTGAAACAGGATTGTGAGACAGAACTTTCTGTGATGACGGAAATATTCTTAATCTGTGCTGTCCAATGGGAACATGTGGCTATTGAGCACTCAGTATGTAGCTACTGCAATGAGGAAATGATTATTTTACTTAATTTTAATAAATTTAAATAGCCACATGAGGCTAACAGTTATAGTGGATAGTAAAACAATAATTTTTGTTGGGGTTACTGCATTGAACAGTGATGATGGTCATGTCCTTTAGCTATAAATGGCCACATCTCAGTATTTAGGAACTGAATAGAATTGTTGTTTCCTATAATATGGAATCTCATCATTATATTTTCCTCTTTTCAGAGTGAATCCCCTGAGAAGTTCTTGAGGTACGGTCCTGGCTCTAGAGGGAAAAAAAAATGCACGTAAAAGAAGGTCAGAGCTGGTGCAGTGCTCATGCCTGTAATCCCAGTAGTTTGGGAGGCCGAGGTGGGTGGATCACTTGAGGTCAGGAGTTTGAGACCGGCCTGGCCAATATGATGAAACCCCTTCTGTACTAAAAATACAAAAATTAACTTGGCATGATGATGCGTGCTTGTAATCCCAGCTACTTGGGAGGCTGAGGCAGAAGAATCACTTGAACCCGGGAGATGGAGGTTGCAGTGAGCCAGGATCGCACCACTCCACGCCAGCCTGGGTGACATAGTGAGACTCTGTCTCAGAAAACAGAAACAAAACAAAAACATATATATATATATATATATATTCAGAGATGTTAAGACTTCTCTTGTAACAAATCTGAATATTTCTCTCTAAATCTCTGTATTATTTTGCTCCTCAGGGTATGGCCCACAGACCAGCAGCCTCAACCCCAACTCAGAAATGCAGAATATCAGACTCCTCTGATACTAAATCAGAATTTGCATTTTAACAAGATCCCCAAGTGACTTATATGCAGATTACACGGAAGTCTCTTCACCTGCAATTTAAGCCCAATGGTTTAACATTAGAAATGGAAGAGCCGATTCCCCTTAACCTCATATAATTAAGGGCTATCATCACCCTTCTCCAGCAGCAATACATTCAGTTCCTTTCGTCCAGTGGTTCCCAGCTTTGGTTGAATATTGGACTCACCTGGGGAGCCTTAAAAAACTACCAGTACCTGGGCCGCATTTTCTGGAGATTCCAAATGATTGATCAGGTTGGACATCTGGGAATCAAGAGTGTTTTAAAGCTTCCCAGGTGATGCTAATGTGTAGCCAGAATGAGAACTACTGTGAGGATTTCCCCATGAGATCTGTCCGCTGGTTTTAATCATGTTGGCCTCTTTTCTCTGTGTTCTTTGACCTTCTTAGGCTGGGCAACGAAGTTTATAATCCAGAAATAGTTTCTTGTGTTGGAGTCTGCCATGTCCTATTAATTATCTCAAAGCTCTGGAGTGTTCTTCTAATACATCCATACACTAAAAGATTAACTGCCACTGTTTTCTGTCTCCCTATTATATGTCCTGTAATCACTTTCAGTAACTTAATCCTCACAATGATAGTAGCTGCTATTCTTATGCCCATTATACAGATGAGGAAATGGAGGCTTAGAAAGGTTGGATCTTACCAAGGTCATCCTATTTCTATTCCAGACTTTGTTCACCTCCTATAAAATCTACCATTTTATAGTATCTTGCTTTTATTTAAGAAACACTGGTAATTTCCTAAGTCACATGGCCAAACATCAGATTTACAATTATTCAATTTTTGAGAATTATCGACAAAGGAAATATAATAAAGGCCAGGAAAGAATTAAATAGATAATAGAATTAGCAGTATTTATAATTCATTAAAGTTTGAAAATGGTGACTTTCTCTTCTTGCATATGGATGTGATAGTTCAATTAAAAAACAAATATTAAATACTCCAGAAGTGCCGGGTGCTGGGACTGTAAAGATCACATCGGTAAGGAACAGACTTTGTCCTTGAATTTCAAGTTGAAGAGAGGATAAGAGCCTATCGTTGTCCAACATGAGACAGTTAATATAATCAGGTGCCACACTGTGTAGTAAGGCCATTATGCTTTGCCAAAGTTCAGAGGGTAGCAGAAACCAGGACAATGTAACAATTTATGGAGGAGGTCTATCTGGAGTGAAATATGTAAGGATGAATGGGGATTGAATCTTTAAAAAAGACAGAGCTGAGCTAGGACATTGGCATAATACTCAATAGAAAGTTAGAATTTCCCCAACTGAATGGCCAGCCTGGTTTCTTGCTGGCTGAATGTCCATTGTCCGTGGAGAATATATAGTCTTTGAATTAGAAACAAATGCTGTCCTAGCCACGCTTTGCGCCACCAATGTCCTGAGTGACCTATATCTGGAGCAGTGAAATCAATCAGATGCAAAGTGTTATTTACACAACTGATAGCTTCCTGCCTCAGACAGTCACGGCTTCTCTTAAGGTTGCTGGAGTACACACTTTGCTTAATATTTGAACCTAGAGAAGTTGAAAGCCAAGGACTTCTTTAAATATTGATCAACCTCAGGGCTTGAGAGCAGGCAAGACAACTGAAGCAAGCATTGTATGTCTTTGCTGGTGAGAGTTTCACAATTACTAGTTTTGCTGGTTTGTTTCTTTTTAGTGGGGAAGGGGCTTGAGGGTAACCCCTTATAATGTTTGTTCCTTTTTCCACATTTTCTTGTTTTCTTTTTTGTTTGTTTTTGTTTTTTTAAAAATATACATACCTGCCAGAATTAGTAAAGAAAAAAAAAAAAGGGAAAAAGGAAAGAAAAATAGAGATTCAATACTAGTGATATGAAAAAGGACAGTAACAATAAAGGCTTCTAACACATCAACATGTTTACTCACCAGAGTTTGGAAACCATTTTTGCCTGGCATGTTGATTCAGTTAATCTGCAGTAGACATTTTGGCGTTGAGACATTAAAAAAAATTTTTTTTTTATTATTTACTTTTGAGATGAAGTCTTACTCTGTCACCTAGGCTGGAGTGCAATGGCGTGGTCTCGGCTCACTGCAACCTCTCTCTTCTGGGTTCAAGCGATTCTCCTGCGTCAGCCTCTTGACAGGCACGAGCCAACATGCCCAGGTAAATTTTGTATTTTTGTAGAAATGGGCTTTCACCATGTTGGCCAGGCTGGTCTTGAACTCCTGACCTCAAGTGATCCAACCTCCTCAGCCTCCCAAAGTGCTGGGATTACAGACGTGAGCCACCACCCCCATCCCGAATTTTACTTTTTGAAAAGAATATTATTGCTTTTATTTTTATCTTGTGTACCTTGACAATGGGCAACAACTTTTTTTTCTTTTTTTTTTTTTTATGGCAGTGCCTGGGGGCCAGGCCTTGAGTTCATAGCTCTGTGGGGCTGTCTGGGATGACAGCCCAGGTCAGGAGTGCAATGCCAATGTTGGGGTCCCTTTCCCAAGGCGCAATTGCAGCCTTTGCCTTGGAACAGGCCTAAGACACTCAGGCACACGATGCTAATCTCAGCTTTCTCAGCATTCGCATCAGCAAGGTGGGCTGGGGAAGGTGGCTGCTGGAAGGGAGACAGAAAAGGCCCAGGCCCAGGAGAAGTGGTGGTGACAGCCTGGGAAAGGGCGCTCCTTTCTGGCTTGGTATCTTGGTGGCCAGCTTCCTCCGGCCACACCTTTTTTATGGTTCTTCCTCGGGCCACACCTTTGTTATGGTGGGTAACGAGTCTTAAAAGGAAAAATAAAGCAGAGACTCAAGGTGGTTTTATAAATTTTATTAAAACCTTTAGATTTCAATACTAGTTTCCCTACAAATAGTCTTAACTATAACACTGACTGCCACAAAAGACTCAGATCGGTAATTTTACCTTAAAAGCTGCAATAATGGTCTTAAGCCTGTATGATGAAAGCCTGGCTGATGAAGAGGCTTGGCTTCTGTTCTTGGGGTTGTCATCACTTCTAAGAGGAAAACCTCTTTGGAGGATAAGGGAATCCCCTTCACATTGCTGTTCATTGTAAAAGTGGTTAGTTATGGTTTTCATACGTTTTTGAGTTAAGACTTGCAGCCATTTGCATGCATAAACGCGAAGGGAATCGCAGCTTGCAAAGCTCTCAAGCGGGGAACATGAGCTTCAAATAAGAAGGCAAATGCTGTTTTAAAAATAATACTTCCTGTTGTAATAGACCTGGGCAGTATTATGTCATGGGTGTGGTGGCTTTTGGTTGAAGACAGCCTAAGCCTCCCTCGGGCCTGGCACAACTCCTTTAGCGAGTGGTCAGCCCATCTCCTTCCTTGGAGGGTCCAAGGCGTGGGAGCCCTCGGGGCGCAATTGGCCCTCCTGTTGCCCGGCAGGTCCGCGCCAGCCTCCGCGCCTCTAAGCTCCGGGCCAGAGAGGGAAGCCGAGGCGATCGGCCGCCGCCCCGCAGCGGGAAGGGGGCTGGCGGAGACAGCGCGGTCCTGGCAGCTTCAGGTTTCCTCCTGGAGCGGGTGTCGGGCGCGGCCGGCGGGCGGGCCTCGCCATGTGATGCGGCCGCCGCGAGCCGGGCGGAGAGGTGGGCAGGCAGGGATCCAGTGGCAGCGGGGAGGCGCGGGGGGAGCGGGGGCGGCACCCACTGCGGACGCAGCTAGCCCGGCTCGGCGCGCGGCCGCGGCTCCACCCCCTAAGCTCTGGTGCTAGCCGTGCCGCCGTCAGGCGTTGGCACCGCCGGGGAGAGCCTTCTGGGCTCCGGGCCGCGGCTGGCTGGGGGCGCGTTCCGAGGCGTCCTTGGGCAGGGCGCGGGGGCAGCGCCTCGCGTGGGCTCTGGAGGCCGCCGGGCCACCGCTCCAGGTAAATGCTCTTTGGGGCTCCATCTTCTGCATTCCCTGCAGCTCTGGGCGGAAAAGTTTGTACACCTGAGTTCGCATCCGCCGGGCCACGTTCTCCAGAGTCCCCAGGGACGCGGGGGTCCCCAGAGGTGACCAGGGCAGCAGCTGCAGGCGCTGAGGAGCGAGGGCTGGGCGCCGCCTCCCGCTCCCTCGGGAGCCGCAACAAGTGGAGAGGGCTGCGCAGCCGGATGCGGCGGCCGGCGGCAGCTGCGGAGCGCGGGGTGGCCCCGGCGCACTGAGAGCCGGGGGCTGGGCGGGTGAAAGCCCGGCCAGGGTTCTTCGGGAACCAGGGAAAATATGGCACTCCTGCGGTGGAGAAGGGACAGCGTCGAGAGTTGGTGTCCGCCTTTCCCATCCATGCTTCTGCTCCGGGGCTGAGGGTGCCTGGCGGGACCAGGACCGCAATGTGCAGACCGAGGGCGAGCTCAGGACACACGCACTACCACTTACTCGTGTGGAAGCATTTGCTGTGTTTTAAAAGGCATTTATAGTTACCTCGATTAGGAAAGGCGGTCAGAATTATGTGGGACTCCTTACGCTTATTTTATGGATTTGTTTCCTCTTGAAGACCTGGGGTGTATGTGGTGGTGCCCAGTCTTCTGTGGTTAGGGTTTCCGAATGACAGGCCCATGTTTAGCCGAGAAGGCGCCCTTTGGGTAGAGGGCTGTATGGAAACTGGGTGCTTAGGCGGCCCTGGAAACTCAGCTTTGGTTTCGCAGAGAACAGTAAGATTTCTAAGAAAGAATCCGTCTCTAGAGGCCCACAGCCTTCCCGCATTGGCTGGCTGGGTGGGCCGAGGAACAGCGGCAACATCGGTGTTTGCGCAGCAGCTTCTCCTGCCTTGACCCCTGCCTGGGTCTCCACAATTCTCTGCACACTAGGAGTTATAGAGGTTCACCATGGACCACACCAGTTGGGCCAAATACCAAAGAAAGTAAGAGCTTTAATTTCCGTTTATAAAGAACTGATCATTTGGGGTTCCATGGGGTCCCTGGCATTCTGAAGCTTGTGTTCCTAGGCCCTGAAGCTGTCAGGGTCAGTGAAATCCTGTTTTCACTGCAAAAACAAATCAAAGACCTGCCCTTGTTAGGTTCTGTGGTATCTACTTTGCACATGACAATCCAAGCAGAGTGATAACTTCTGGGAAACCTGGGAAGGTATCTCTAGATCTGTCCTGGGTTTTTAGTTACACGTTCTGAAAGCGCATGCGTATTTGCCTAATCTTGATTAATAGCCAAAGTAACCCCTTTGGAGTATTTGGAGGAAAAGAGAATACTGCAAAAGCCTTTGGGATTTTTAATACAACATAATCTTTCAATGTAATGTTCTGATGTGGACTTTATATGTGATTATTGTGCTGATTAACTTTGATCAAGTAGGAATTTAGCTAGCATCAAATCTTATATCTAATAGGGAAACTGAGGCACAGCTAGCTATTGAGTGTGTGACTCAGATAAATGTCTTGGCTAATGGGAGAATGGAGAACAGAGAATCAGTGTTTGTCCTGCTTTGGACTGTTTTTTTTTTCCTTACCAAAACCACACAATCTGGCCAAGAACAGGTTATATAACAGGTGTGTCATTAGACTTTCCTCTGAAGTACCCATCTGTCCTTTAAGCAGTTTATAAACACTTAAAGAAGAAAACAGTGGTTAATAACTAAGGTTCTAGGAAATGTCTCAGAAGCCTCGCTTGGGTTTCACACCTTTAAAAAAAAAATCATGTGAGTACTGCAGAAGAGTTTGGAATATTTTCTTATTGTGTTCTTATAAGAAACTATGCTTGTGGCTAAGACTTAAATTGGGCAGGAATTTCAGGTGAGCTCTGATATATTACCTCCTTTAGTATGCCCCATGAGAAAAGAATATGTGTTCTAAGTAGGTATTAAAACAAATTGCAGCATATACTATTACTTTTACGTTAAACATTCTGTACACCACTATATTGGTACCCAAGCTCCAACAAGTCTTGCCAGTTTATGACCAAGGGCTGAATTCCAAGAAGAAAAGATTCATGATATGAATGTTGGAAAAGCTTCACCACTTGGGCACAGCTAGGATGGTGCTGAACAGAGCCTAAATTACCTAGGCTGACTATAATTTTATTATGCTTTTATTTACTAATCAGATATGACAGATCTGGTTTGTGTAGGCTTTGTGTAATTGCATTGTATTTATGTTGCTTTTAGTGAAGCAGAGTTGCTGTAGGTTCCCGCCAGCCCCTGCCCATAACCTTAAATAAGATTTGTTATGAAGAGGTGGGCCAGCCTGGGCAACTCCCACTGAGGATGTAAAAGCAGTGTTACATTTGAAGTGCACCAAATTCAGGGAATTCTGCCATGCTAAAGTTGTGCTATAAATATGCCACCCTCTCAGGCTTGAGTCCAGATCTCTTAGGTAAACCTGGGCTTTGAGATATTTTTCATGCTTAAGAAGTGTAGATCAGGTCCTGTATCACAGAGCATTTTGCTCTGATTGGATGGCACTCTGTCATTTTGTCCCATCTCTGGGACCCTTAGTTCTTTGGTCATTATCATGGTATTGGAAGTTCTCAAAAGCCCAAAGCAGTGTCACTCTACTGTTTTGCATTTTGACAATCTCTATTATGGGCCTTTCTTTCTATGAACATGTTCTTCATTTACACGTATTCAACTAATATTTGTTGAAGGCTTACTATATGCCAAGCACTGCTCTTTGCTTTGATTCTCTGAGCTTTGGATTCCATGTCAAAGGTGACACTTTTCTGGCTTTAGAGTTTTTAGGGTCTGTTGCATTTTCAGAGTAGACTTTTGCACACTCCACATTAAGACATTTGGCTGGCAAGAGTGGCATGTGGCTCACACTCATAACCCCAGCTCTTTGGGATGTTGAGGTAGGAGGACTGCTTGAGTCCAGGAGTTCAAGAGCAGCCTGGGCAATACGGTAAAACCTTGTCTCTACAAAAAATACAAAAACTAGCCAGGCATGGTGGTGCACACCTATAGTCCCAGCCACTTGGAGGCTGAGGCTGGAGGATAGTTTGAGTTGGGGAAGTCGAGGCTGCGGTGAGTTGAGATATCTGGGTGACACTCCAGTCTGGGTGACAGAGCAAGACCCTGTCTCAAAAAAAAAAAAAAAAAAATTAAAGACGTTTGGCTAGCAAAGTAAGTCATGTAACTGATTTTTTTTAATGCAATAGTGGATCTTTTTAATTGACTTCCATTTTTCCCTTGAAATTTGATCTCAGGGACAATTGTAATTTGCTTATTTGTAACATTATTGCTCCTGGACTTCTTCTCCTGGGTAACCGAGATAATGAGATCTGACATCATTTTTAATGAGGGAAAGCAAAAACATATATAATTGAATATTGGGCGTTTGTTCCAGTGATGTTGGTTTTGAGCACTTATATAAAAATGTATTTTAATTTTCAGATGTGTTTTCTCTTGTTTTAGTTTAATCTTTGCCTCAATTATAAATAACTTGAGGTTTCATTTCTATAGAAGGTTAACATACAAGTGATGTTTCCCTAAGAGCAAACGAAAAGGTATCTATGAGTGAGAGCCCACAGGCAGAAATCAGCAGTGGTACCTTCACTTTCCATCGTAGCCTGTGCAGAAGAGATCCTTCCAAGACCAACAGGCAAATAGCATTCTGCCTATTTCAAGTGGCAAGCTTTGTGTGGCTGCTGTGCACATGATCATTGTGCCTTTTAAAAAAATATACACTTGAAATGTTAATCTGCTTCAAATACATACATAGACATTCCCTTAATAGATGAAGTGTATTTATATTGCATATATTAATGACATTTATTTATGTGTTAGCCCTTCAATTCATTATCAAACACTAGTGATCATGCCCTTCGTGTTTAAGGCTTACTGCTTTTTTCCCATCATTTTATAATTCAAGAAATTATATTTCATAAACTCTCACAAAGTGGTTTAGAATGTGGACTTTGGAGCCAGACTGTCTGGGTTAGAGAGCCCTTAGCTTTGCCCTGGCTATATGACCTCTTTCTACCTCAGGTTTTTCTATTTGTAAAATGAGGATAATAATAGTAACCTGCTTCAATTGTTGTGAGGACTCCATGATTTAATTTACAGAGAACCCTCCCGCTAGTGCCTGACAGAGAGTAAGTGCCAGAAAATGGTGATGGTTATAGTTATAGCAAGTAGAAAATAACCATCTAAAAAGAATAAAAGGGGGAGCAGGTTTTTCAGCTTTCAGAAGGCAGTGAGATGTCAGTGTAACCTTGGGAGTAATTGCCCTGGGCTGGGAGTTGGAGGAAGGGATGGAGTCCTCTGGCTTTCTGGTTATGTGACCTTGGGTGAGTATTCCTTCCGGAACCCTTTCTGGCCCCAATTTCCTCATCCAGTAAAATGGAAAGGATTAGACTGGATGGTCTCTAAGAGCCACCTATTTTTTAGCATTCTACTTGGTTGTCTACAAGTAGAATTTGAATGTGATGCATTTGTCAGTTTGTTTCTGTCTTGGTCAACACTGCTAGAAATGTACTGTCCACAAGATTAGCATTGCGCCTGCAGTAGGCATTTGAATAGATGATGAGCTGTCACTCTTATTACCGTATCTCTCCTTGACTACCAGTCATCAGGTTGAAATTACTTGGAGTTAACTTCCCGAACTTAGTCCAAAGAGATTTCAGACATGCAAGACCAGATCCGTGGTGTGGGTCATATGGCTGCCCTAGCCGTCTTCATCTGAAGGACCCTGCTCATGTAGAAGAGGGGTAGTATAGCTCGGGGAAGAGGAAAGACAAGTTGACTATTTAATTTTATGATAAAAATAATTTCTATCAGGCAAAGACGTCTCATGAAGGACTTCTAAGGATGGTGAAGGTCAAGAGGTTTTCACTGGGCTGGATGGTTCAAAGTCCCTCAGGGGCTTATCTTTTTGTCTTTTCCCGCTAAGACCCTGATTTATTGTCTGTACGTTGTCACTGGTTCTTTGTCAACAGAGTTCCT